GTGTCGGTTGGGGGGGGGGGGGGGGGGGGGGGTATTGGGATCAGGGGACCTTTTCACAGACAATGTGCCAACCTACAGAACCCTGAGCACTATTTATATCCAGTGATCTGGCTGAAGGTCCCATATGACGCCCTGCTAAGTCTCCTGAGGAGGATATTAGAGAAAAGAGCGCATCCTTGTAAAAGGTGCCCATACACTGCACGATTGTCATACGAGAATCGCGGGAAATCCTGCGATCGTACAAGAATCGAGCAGTGTGAATGAAGACGTGCGCCCGTACAGTAGAAATGGTCGCACGTCTTTTGTCTCTAAGGAGCACGCTAGAAAACCAGCCGAAAATCGTACGATTTTCAGCTGGTTTGAACGGTGCTCGGGAGACAAATGGCGAACGGGCTGTTGTGCGCACACTGCCCGTTCAGCATTGGTCATCGGAAGCCCGCCCCTCAAGGGAGCGGGCTTGCGATGATCGCAAGTACAATCTACCTGTCCAAGATGGGCAGATCGTACGTTTTTTTGTTTAAAACTACTTTACAACCCTCGCAAGCCTAGGTCTTGCGAGGGTTGTAAAGTGTATGGCCACCTTAAAGGTGCCCATACACTGCACGATTCTTGTACGAGAATTGCGGGAAATCCCGCCATCGTACAACGTACGGAAGGCGTGCTACCGTTTCTACTGTACGGTTCCACGTCTTCTGTCGAACAAGCAGACTTGAAAACCCGCCGGGAATCGTACGATTCTCGGCGGGTTAGTGGCCTGCTTGTTCGACAACTGCCGAACGGGCCGGTGTGCGTACGAAAAAAAATTAAAACATTTACAAAACCATTCATAATTCTGCCCAGAGCTACATCACCACATCTCATTATCACCCCAACCGTCTTCTCTTCTCCTCCCAACACCTTCTGCTCCCTTGCAAAGTGCATTGCAGCTTACGATGAGAATGCAAAACATGCGTTGACCCTCCTGCAGCTTGTCCTCCCCTCTCCCCCAATGGTGAGATTTCCCCCAGTAATTCATTGCTGTCCCTCCCCCTCCCAGGGGTCACCTTCTCACAGCTGAACTCCCATCATAAGGTCCTTATTCTATATTATGGAGAATCCATCTGGAGAGGGCGACACCATCATCTGGCTTTGTAGTGGCCATGGGAGGCGGGGAGAACCAATGCTTCTCATTGATCTCAATGCTTCCCTCCTCGAGAGACACATGGAGTATCAGAAGTATAGACCCCACAGAGCCCACCACAGATCCTGCAAAGCCCCCCATAGATCGTGGAGACCCCCTGAGACCCTGCAGTCTGATGCATCTCAGGGGGGCTGTGCAAGATCTGTGGTGGGCTTTGCAGCCTGCAGAGCCCCCTACGGATCCTGTAAAGCCCCCCACAAGGTATTGCACGGCCCACCTGCAACTCTTTGGTGGGCTGTGCAGAACCTATGCTGGGCCCTGCCAGCACAGTCGTCCTACCTGGCAAAGGAAACCCAGCCCGAGCCTCGGCGACGCCTCCATCGCAGTCTCTGGTCTTGCATCCTCCGTTGTAGTCTTCAGCCCCGCCTCTTCCATCTTCTCTATCTCCACCCCCCTGCCTCTCCGTCCCCTCCTGCTCCCCCGTCCGCCACTTTCTCCCCGTTAACATTAGGCAGCCAGGCTACTGGTTTCTGTGCAGCCCGGCTGCCTAAATGTTTGGGGGGGATTTTTGCTGCCCCCTGGAAGCTGCTACCCGAGGCAAACGTCTTGTTTGCCTCATGGCAGATACCGCCCTGATGACAGGACGAAGAGGGAGTCAAGATTTGGGTACGAGTTCAGCGGATGTTCTCTGCTGGTCAATGAAGGTGATCTGCTTATGGACAGTGTCAACATACACTCTTCCAGTGTTGCATCATTGTTTCTATCACTCGGGTTTGTAACAGTTAATTGAACACCGAAACCTGCAGTGAAGGAACAATTTGTGCACCAGCCAGAGCTCCATGTTCCGAGGGTGATGGCCCCCCTAAAAGTTGGTTCAGAGAAGGGCAGTTTTCAACTCGGAGGTCAGAGCCCCAGTTACCGCTAAATCACTAATTGGTCAAGTCGGTCTAACCATTAGACATATAGAAAACCCATGACCTGGATGTGCTCCTCTCACCCCATATTCAGGTGTTCACGTAGATCTGCGGGCCAGCGAGCCAGAGACACCGGACCAACTTGAGCAATGACAAGGAGCAGGATTGTTGGAAAGAAAACATTGCGCTCAATTTAGTTTTCTTTCATTTGAACCAATGGCCAATATTTCCAGACAATCCTCTGAGGTCCAGACTCTCTGCAGAGGTAGACGCATCAAATGTGAAAACCAACATATGTCCCCGTTATAGCATCAAATCCACCCCGCATGTTCCTTCTCCACTTCCTGATTTATAAATGCTGCAATTTCAGTGGAAGAAGAAAAGAGAAATTCAAGACAGCGAGAAGCAAAATCTCCTCCGGAGGGCACCCGGCTTGATGGGTACTTGGTCTGGGACTGGACGGAGAGACATTTCATGTTACACATGGCAGCAGATACAAGCAGAGCAGTAACAGTGATATGTGGGGTCATCTTCTGTGCCTCATACCCCAAATCAGCCATGTTCCCTTCACACTGAGAGCACTACAGGGGCGGCCATTGCTTTCTCCTGAACATGTCCACCACCAGCTGAGCCGAGCACTGAATCTGTTCCCCCCATGCAGAGCAAAGCACCACAGTCACCAGACTCTCATCCTCTCTCCCCCACTCCCGGGAGCTAGAAGAAACCATCTGGTACTTCCAGGCATGGAGGAGCATGTGACATCACTGGGCCAATAGGTGCTGTGCGATGGGGTGTCCATAGCCCTGTGCAAGTCATGATTCCGGTGACTTTCCTGTCACTTCTACTCCTGAACAGAGCGCAGGGAAGGCCGGTGTATGAGGCGGCAATGAGGTTCTGTTCTGCATGGGCAAAGCATGGACTGACGTTGGGTCACCGACCTCCAACACGCATGTGGTCAGACCTCCCAACTAAAAAGGAGGAGCGGAGTGATTGTGGGGGAATGTCACCAGCTATGTAGTCTGATATTTCACCAAAGCTAAAAACTAATTGTGATAGAGATAAAAAATATAAAAGTATTATAAAATATCAGAGATTACACACCCCGCTCACCCCTGACCGGACTGAGTGGGCATTCATCAGTGTCAGGTGTTGGAGGTCGGAGGTCCGATTCAGCTCTGGGAGGATCTGATTGGCCGCTTTGACCAATGCAGACGCCGCCAGTTCCACCCTCACACATAACGTGGTCTAGTATTGTATCCTCACCGCCGGCCACTTACCCCAGGGATCCCAGCAATCAATAATGCAACCGACATCGCAGCACTTCTGTATGCCGGGACAATTCGAGTCGAAGTCGCACGTCTTGAGGATGGGGTACTCGCAGGCGACAAAGGTGTTCACAATGGGGCAGGAGCCAAACTTCACCGCTGTAAGGAAAGACGTTCACCGTTATCTGCGTCTCCCGGGAACACCTTCTATACACATCTCATCGTTTCCTTCTACAATCTCACATTCCAGGTCTTGGGATCATTTCATGTCTGACCCTCCCCCCTCCCCCGTGTTGGGTACATTAGGGAACTCTTAAGATTTTGTTTTGCTGTGTCTCATTGTGGAGATATCCGGACCCCAATGAGATGCCGCCAGGGGAAACCGCATTGGAGCTCATTCCAGAGATGACCCCTGGATACATTGCACTACAAAACCATCATGGTCCACTTTTCATTCTATTCCCCCCACCAGCCATGATCTGCCAGAAGCACAGAGACCCAGTGATGACATCACCGAGTCTAAAATAAGGTGTGTAATGGAAAGGCTTTATTTAAGGACTGAACCAGGGAAGGTAAGATAGAGTGAGTATAGCTGCCAGAGTCGGATATCCCACAAGGCCAACCAAGGCCCGGCCTTGGGGCAGCAGGGGTGTGGAATTCCTATCTCCCGATGCCAGGGACATGGAGTTCCGGGCGCCGGGCAATTGTTTTCTACATTTAGCCCGGCTTTGGGCAAGTAGAGCTAAATGTACAGCGGGGAAGCTGACGCCTGTTTTGTACAAGTAATCCCGGCAATGTCACTGGGACCACTTGTATGCAGCCTGCAGGTCTGCCATTCTCCATGTGGTAGGGGCAGTAGGAGGTCATTGGAGGATGAAATAGGTGCTTTCCTCTTCTCTTATTGAGAAACTCCTACAGCCTGGTTTGGCATTTCAGTAGGTGTCCAAGCACAGTGCCCGAGTATAGAGGCCAGATTTGCTATGATGGAGGGTGGCACACGTGATTGGGGAGGGTCAGTTCCCAACAAGCAGCTATATTTGTGTTATGCAGGTGTTGTGGTCCACTTACATCCAGGCTCTGTGCACTTCCTGCGGCAGTAGGTGGGGCAGCATTTCTTCGTCCCCTTACATGCAGCGTCATCCTTGCACAGGTTCTTCACTTCAGTACGGTCACAATAGGGAGGACGCTCCGGAGCTCCAGGACACGAACCCTTCTTTGGCACTGGAGAAGCAGAAAGACCATTTATGACACGAGATGTATCCGGACAGCCACAGGCCGCTCAGCCTCACATCAATGATATGCAACGTATGAGGGAATGGTCAGAGACTTCAGAAATGTACATGTGATAAGGGCACCAGAAGTACTACCCAGCATGGATTTATGGAGGACTGGTCATGTCAGACACATTCTATGAGGGGAGTTCTGGGGGGGGGGGGGGGCAGAGACTTCCCAGGAGTTG